CCTCTCCACCAGCGGGGTAGGCACCAGTGCTACAAAATTCAGAGTCTAAAGCTAAAGCTGAACAAAACTCTCTTCCGCAGCCCCGGTCGCCTTCCCCGTCCCCCAAGCAGCCTCATCCCTCCACCCTCCACTTGCTGTCGGTAGAAGTTCCCCTCCCACTCATCGTCGTCCCGGTTCCGCCTGTGTTGGGTTCGGACTGCAGTTACCGCCGGAGATCCCACGTAAACTACCAATCACTTCCGTTCGCGTCGTCCTTTGCTTCGGAATGTTAGCCGTGCTGAAGAAACAGTTCCCCTCATCTCATATGCAGTGCTGTCACATTTTGATGAGTCTCGGCCGGCTGTTTGAAACTGTCACTAGCAGATTTGAGATGGGAATCAAACGAACCAATAAATCGACAGATCGCTTGTTTCGCGAAGCATTTCATCAAGCAGATCAATCATTTTCAAGTGAAAAACGGTCGTATTCATTGTAACTGCCAAGCGGCGATCACTGCTCAGCGAAAACGATGAACGCCCAATACTGACGTAGGCTTGGAAGCGAAACCAGTCCAGACGCAGACCACGCAGATCCATGGTTTGATCTGAAACAGGAACTAACGACACAGCAATCTCCGAAGATTGCTTTGCGCAGTGTGCAGTAAAACCCTCATCCATGTAAGCACTGACTGCCCATGTTTCACAGCTACAAATCACAGTAATGCGTAAATTTAGGAAACAGGTTTTGCTCATCCAATTGCAATGCCATGCACGCAGTCCCGTTGCCCGCAACTAGCACTTGAAACATGGCACCATCGACAACTTGGCTTAAAATTTGGAGTCCATTCCTCATCCCCCCCGCTTCCCTTAACAGTTAATAAAAAGCAAAGGAGCTATGCAGGAAAATAAACCACTGAAGAAATCGAGCTAAAAAAAAAACTCAAACTGCGCCTGGATGATACACATTTGGGAAGGACATTATGAATCGATTCACAGCAAAAAAAAAAACGATCTCATTACAGCGAATAAAGTTTTGCGGCAAAAAAATTCAACGAAGAGTTTTCAAGGGTCCCAGTTAAGCCTGATGCCCTCCCCCAGCAATTCCCAAATGAAGCTGTACAAAGCAACTTACTGCTGATACGCAACAAATCGGCACAGAAATCGGATAACAGGACAGATTCTTTTTCATCCAATTTTTCCACTGACTGTACGATATCTGTTAAAACCAACGCATCGTAGCCAGTGACATACTGCGAATAGTACCGCTGAATAACGCCTTCATGCTGTTGCACCAAACTGCGAAGCTCCAAAATATAGTGTAACAATTCAGGCAGCTGTCTGTAACAAAATCCATTACGCTTGTTGCGCAATGTAGTAAAGCAAGAAGCAGCGTTTTGGTCAAAAGTAGCCATGTGATGACGAATTTTTGATGCCCTAATTGCCAATTTCGTGACAAAACAATCCCTCAATTTGTTTTACGCGCTGCACCATCATGTTCTGTATTGCTTTAGTACGAACTGCAAAAACTTTAGGCTTCTAAAATTGAATTTCACAGAAATCAGGAAGGTTTTGTTTTTAAAAATTATTTCTAGGAAAGCCGAAAAGCTTTATCTATTTGTACAGCAACAATACACATACCTTAAATTTATTTTAAAAAAGTGTCAATTTTTTAAAGCGAAACAAACGACCACTGACTTATCGATCACTTCATCAGCATGTTTCGCCTTTTTACCACTACTCACTGGCCAAATATCGATATGCCTGAGCAGCCACAACACTTCGTCTCGTGAAAATGAAAGAGCCATCCAAACGAACAAAATTTTTGGACCCAAAAGACCTATTTGATCTTTGATTAGTAAGCAAAGTTCCCGTAATGTTCCACGAAGAAAACGGCGACGATCACGATGAATTGTTAGACTGAAAAGAAGGACAGCTGAGTTTTATGCAGAGAGGGGAAGAGAAAGAAAAAAAAAACGCATATTTTACTGACTGAGTGTATCACAAAGGTGAGTTTATTAAAATAAACGGGCGCTTACTTAGTTTCCAGGGAATTAGAACGGTACCTACTCACTTTCAAGGGGAATGAAGTAGTTTCCCGAAAAAGTTGTTTATTCGCCTAGCAAAATTTTCTAAGGCTATATGCATAAAATGTATCCGAAATAAAAAAAAAAAAAGAAAGAACACACGTTCGTTCACCTTGTTTGCAAAGCGACAGAATAATGGTCCTTTACTTCCTGCAACTTTTTGTTATAACCTTTAATACTTTCAAAAACGTTCTGCGCTGTCTGATGAACAATGAGAATTTCATTCCTGAAAAATGCTCACTTCAGAATCAAACAATCAATCGCCAAAACTGATAATTAGCTAACAAATTCCGTCAGATTTCACCGAAGTAAAAATATACGCATTGCGCTTAGCCCAAGCTAATCACGCTTTCATCATCAGTAATTTCGCTGGTAAAGTCGCTACTGGTTTTTCCGCATTCAAGGAATGTGAAGGGAGGGGAGAGAAAAATGCTGGATTCATCATCATCTAACTGCAAAACAAATCAACGAATTGTGCATCACATCA